CGCTGTGTGCTCCGGGAGGCCGGGACAGCTACAGGTGTGCCGCCGCAGTCCGGCCGCAGTCCCTTTGGCTGCCGTGTACCCAACGCGTGGGCAGCTGGCAGGCGTTAACGGGCAAAAAAAGGGCTAAATAACTGCGCTGGCACTGGTGCCGTGGGAGTCCCGGGGACGGACCAGCTCCTGTTGTGCTGCCTACCGTAAAAACACACGGCTGGAGGTGCTCCCTGCTCCGGGAAGCGGATAGCCTAATGACATGAGAAGAGGTCATGGGACAGGCAGGGAGACACAGATACCTTACAGACCTTACTGGCCCACACAACGAGCTTGGGCACCCGCCTGTTGCTGGGGTTTTCCTTCAGTCATCCTGGCGAAGAACGGCATGGGAAGGGCTTATTTGAAGGAGGATAAAGGAATAGCTTTGCTGCGGTTAGCAGAGGACATAAGGTTAACATGAGGACACCATGGGAGAAAGCATGAAAAGCCTAGCTTATCTGGAAATTTAAGAAATGGGCTGTAAAGGCTGGCATCACGGACCGATCAGAATCATGAAAGCTACTTTCTCAAAACTGGCATGGAAATGGTAATGAGGTGCCTCCAAAGGCAATGCAAACAGCTTGCTTTTTTTGTATGATAGCAAAGAGGAGACAGCATAAAAATGGGTGACTTGCATAGGAACATGCGCAAGGTAAACGACCTTTGCAGCATATTCTAGATGCCCATTAAAAGGAAAATGTATATTAAAACTGGTGAATTTAGGGGTAACTCAAATGCTTGTATTGAGGGGGAACGTTACTTATTTCTCAGTCAGATAGACAATCGACCAGAACCTCAGATCTGAAACACTTCAGTCCTTGTAAGTACGTGCATATGAGAGGCAGAGACTTGAAAGTTCAAAGCAAATCCTGCTGACGTGATTTTTTTTGATCCAAGTTTGCATCTTCATTTACACTTTTTTGATTTAGACACAACTGAAAACGTACAAGAGCTTACCCCACGTACCTAAAAAGAATTTCCCGAGCAACTCTTGCAAATTTGAAGTCTGAAAATTGAGACTAGATTTGGCCATGGCAAAGTCCTAATCTTAAAGAAAACTTACACTGCAACAAATCTAACACAGATCTAGAAAAGGCCTCTCTCTCTCTCCCCACCCCCCCTCCCCAATACTCCCATGTTTTGTACTTAGATTTTCACCAGGAGTTTCTCCTCCTCCCACAGCTATGTACTGTGAAATTGTACACATACCTCAGTGAAGAAAACAGAATAGACGTTTAATGCTGACACACACTTCTCATTCTCCTCCTTTCTAGTTGTATTTTCATACTTTCAGAGTTTTGGCACTAACTGGTACCAGTTCATATATTTTGAAATGAAAGCATGCTAAGAAGGGAGATTGGCAGAAGCCTCCATCATCTGGCCTCATCAGTTTTTCACTGTTTACAACAGCAATAAATGTACTCTAAAGGGGCCATACTCCTCCTGATGTCAGAGGAATATATATACAGAAGGAGAGGAAGAACAGCCTAAATTTAGCTAGCAGAAAAGAGACATCTGCAGCAGTTAGGTTGATTTTGCTGACTGATGAAAATATATTATTACAAAGCAAAAAAAAAGAAAATTTTTTGCAGTTAAAGGAACCACCATAAAGAAACTACTTTTTTCATAAACAGGATTTGATGTTTCCAAGGCTTTTTTATTTTAAATCACAGGTAATCCCATTACATATGGTCATTGTGCTGGGGATAGAGAAATAATCCCATATATAATATCCTGAGACAGCATTTCTCACTTGTTACTAATGCTCCAGGAAAAAAAAAAGAAAACATCAAAGAGGGGGTCAGGATGACGGATCAGCAAGTCAGGAAGCAATTAGGTAAGCCTTATTGTACCTCAGAGAGCAGTGTTGGTTCCTGGCACTTCTGTTTCAGTTCTAGGAGTGTATTTGTTGATTGAAAGTGGTTGAACCAGAAAGCACAGTATTAAACTTCAGTATATAAAGTGGGTTTGAAATTCCAGTGCACATAGAAAACATCCCATGAATGGAAAATGGCATTTTTACTCACACATTGAAGTAACAGTCAGTGTTGCAAAACCATTCTGTATTACACATCGTCTTTTCCAGGCTCCAGTTTTCAGGAAATTGTGTAGTTCCCTTTGGAGGAGGGGAAAACTGGGTATGAACCAGAGCATCATTTGTGCCACGGCTTAAGCAACATCATTTAAATCAAACCGTTACAGGCAGCATACAGAAAGGCTTGTACTTAAATTGTAGCTGGTGTGGTCAGCATACAAGTCAGCATTATGCTGTGCTCAACACGTCCTGGCTGTGGTCCAGAATGACCCTTGGCATAGGAACTCCAGAACAATTACACGAAGAAGCAGCCCGTTGTCGCTGTAGCCCTCTTGGCCCCAGAAGCGGCTGAGGATCTGACCGATGCCCCCTCTCCCTGCCTTCAGATCTCACTGTTAAAATCCCTTCTTTCGCAAGCGCTGCCAGCAGCCTGCGTGGGACGCTCTGTCTGGGACCGTACCTCTGGCAGGGACAGGCAGCTTGCTACAATGGATGTATTGCTCTGCCTGTTGAAGGACACGGTCCTTCGGGGGGATGTGCGATATGGGAGCAGGCAGCTTTCGGCAACAGGGCGGCCAGCACAGCCCAGATGTGGAGATGGGGAGAAATGTCCGTAACAGCCACCTGATCCTAGCCCATGCCATTTGTACACACTGGGAAAAGCAGGCAAGAGGCTAATAAACCCAGTTTACAAACCCATAGTGAACACAGACAATGCTTTCCCATTTTGAGAAACTATGCCAGAGCTTGTTGGCAGCTGCCTGCTCTGAAAATTATCACAGTAGTGACCCCTGCCAGGGATTTGTACCTGATCGTACACCAGCTCCTACCTCCTCAAGGCAGGCTAGCTGCCAAAAGCCACCTTGAAAACGGCCCTGCTCTAGAAACATCACCTGTACAGCTGGCACCCCACTGCGGGGAACAGGAGTGCTGTCAGTCATGTCTTGCAGCAGTCACGCTTTGGCCACAGGCAGGGCAACATGACACAGAGGGGTCTGACTTCATGCCAGCTACCTGGTGGACCCCTTAAGTCCCGCTGGAACAAGTTGACAACCATGTGGACTGCTCAAAATGGCAATATAAGTAGATGTGTTGCAGCTGGTGCCCCACACAGTAACTGGAGAGTTATGATGAACTCAGGAGCTTTCAGGAAACATCCACTAGATCCACACATAACACACCAATCAACACAGCAACAACCATTTGAAAACCAAGACAAAAAGGACAGCAGACATCACTACATTGCAAGAGTTTACAGTTGTCAGTATGGCCAAGAAAATGCAATAGTAACAAGCTCAGACAAACTCTGTTACAGCACAAGGCGGGGCAGACTAACTCAATAAATACTGGTACATGTATTCATATTCAAGTTGGACACGGGTGTCTAAGGTGGCATATTGCTAGAATCAATAATATTAACTTTAGCAAAAAGAATTGCTGCCTGTTGAAGAGTAGTGAGTAAAACTTGAGAGTTTTTTATCTTGGGCTTACTAATACAAGAAAATTGATCCTTTCTGTCTTATGTTTGTCATCTGTTTAATGCCCAAAGTCACCATATAGTATAGGACTCACCATATAGTACACAGAGCAGATGATTTCCCTTTTTCATACAGAACTGGGAATTGCTACTCATAAAAGGATCTCTGACAGATGCAGAAAAACTTTCACTTCTCTCCCCCTGCAAACTCAGTGCAATGCTTCACAGCTAACTGGGGAAGCTATGAAGCTAATGAAGCCTGATTTCCCCTGGCTAATAAGGAATGAAGCCTGAATGAAGTTAGCTTGTTCATTATGCCTCCACTCATCTGGATTCCGATGTCCGATAAGATTGGATCATGTGCCACAGCCTTACCTCCCAGGAGCTGTCTTTTTGGGAGAGTGCCTTTTCTTTATCATCTGTAATTTTGTGGGTTATAAGAGATGCAAACAACTTCTTACAGAAGCATTCTGCTTGAATGAAAGCATGGCATAGTAGTATATGTCTTTTTTTTTTCTGCAAGAGCTACTACATAACAGCTAATTTTCATGAGACTACTAAAGATTAAAGCTACTCTTTTCATTATATTGCGCAGTTACTGTGTCACGCGCCTGTCATATATACTGTTAGCAGTCAAAATACCAGCTTGCTCTTGTCTATCCATCTTTGTTCTTGTGGGTAAAATAAGTTGCTGCCTATCACGCACAGAAGGATCCACTCTAATTCCAGTTGTTAAAATCAAAGTTTTATTAAAAATCACAGTTCTGCTTATTTAATTAAGCTTACTCAATAGAATTCTTATGGGATCATCTTACACATCTCTGATTGTCTTCTCTGTATAAGAAAGATTGAAATCAAACAGTTTCCCCAGTAATACAGGCTTCATATTTTTAATTTGTGAATTCTACATCCAGTGTTTGTCCTCATAACTGAAACGTGTCTTAGGTTAATTTGATCTTGATCAGAATACAAGGATGCCTTTATTCTTAGGGTTAGAAAGTCCAGCTGAGTATGACTAGTAGACGAACATGTTCCTGTTTACAGGGACAGTAAAAAGGAACTGGTCTTTTTTTTAAATCTAAAAAAAAATTTTAAAAACCCCCCCCCCCCCCCATCATTGTGCAGTTTGTGTGCCCTGAAGTTTTTTGAGGTCTTGTGCAATTAGGGATTGTATGGCATGCGTATAAAGTCATCTCATCTTTCTTTTGCTCTTGTAATAAGGTATATCTATTCAGTTTGGGACAGATTGCAATCCTACAAAAGAGTGAGTTTTGTTATTCTAGCAACCTCAGGAACTAGAGCATTATAAGAAAATGGTATGCAACTTCTATTTCATTATTTAGAATGTTTTATTTAAATGTATTTACCTGATGTACAGAATAGTGTAATCTGGCTGCTAATTCTCCAATGCCTTCTGGAAGGCTGCAAAACATCAAAAACAAAACCATACAAAACAATATTAATTACAACCTAGATCATCTTCCTCCACACTTTCTATAACCAGGGCTGTGTTATGTAATATCAGCTTAACAGCTGCTTAGTTGACTTCCTGATGTAAAGATAAACATCATTATATAACCTGCCTATTTTAACTTTCTCAGTCAAATTAAGCAGAGAGGTTCGTGTATTGTATGGAATGAGTTTGCCTGTGTGAAAATCCAACCTAAACAGTAAACCCTCCAAGAGCAGGTTAGATGCTCTCCAGCAGTATTTTCCTGTGAGGAGTGCAGCAGTTGCTTTGGATTTTGCCTGATCAAATGCTGGCAGGTGTGTTTAGAAAGTTAATTTGGGAATTTTTCTATGACCAAGTGTTACCCAATTAAAACACAATCTGTTCAAAATAAATTTAACTCTTCATCTCATATGAACATATAACAAATCCCCCCCCAAATAGCATTCAGACAAAACACAAGAAAGTGCTATTAAACCTCACTGTAGGATTCAGACGCAGGCTATGCAAAGTAGCACCTCCTAGAAAGTGCAGAAGCCACTTTTACTCTAATGCTTTTTCCTTATTTCTGTGGCACAGTCCACAGCATGCCTTGAAGTGGAGCCGCTAGCCATGGCTCTGTTCACTCTGTGCTCATTTTCAGGCAGCTGCTCTCTGGCCAAGGTAGCTCATCCAGAGTTCTTGCACTGTGTTAGTGTCAGCTCAGACATCTGTACAAGCCTAATCACCTCTGGAGTACAGAAAGTGGTGTGCCTGAACCACGCGATCCAGTAGCACACAGCAAAATGACATCACAGCATATCACATCAAGATACCTTTGTCTTCCCAACCCAAACAATGTAGTATTTGTAGCAGAGAGCATGGGATTGTGCCCAGCCTTACGCCTCTTACACAAGGGTCAGATCTATATAGGTCTGCTGCCACCATATTTTCCATCACATGCACCTGAAGAAACAAATAGTCTTCATATTTTGGGATTACAGACACACGTAGCTAGATCAGGCGAGTAGAAAAACTAGAAAGGGTGTTTGGCGGTGATTTTTATAGGAATCAAAATCATACTTATCAGAAAGTACCTTCTTTTAAAAAGCTAAGAATCACTTTCCAAATAAACACTTTTCTTGCAAAGTATTAAGGCATTCTAATTCACACCAAACACAGTATTTCCAAACACTGCAGGAACACACTGAGCATGTGGAGCTCTTAAAGTAACCCCTCTTTCTCCTGGGATGACAGACAGCTTGTTTAAAATTCCCTCTTCCTATGCTAACACCTACCTTTTGAGCTCACCAGATAATTGAAAGTATGTATTTGAGAGCTATTAGGAAGAGCAGAGACAGCAGGCTGCTGGTTTGCCCTTCAGAAACCATAGCTCCATCTGTAGCATTTTGCTTGCTAGTAGCTACACGCTATGCTGTGGGTACCCAAGTCCCAAGCTTCCCATCTCCTGCCCCTCCTCACTCCCTGCTGCTCAAGATTGTAGAAGTTTTCTGCAAAGAGTTCAGTTGAGAGGAGGAGTTACTGGAGCCAGCATGCTCAGTTGGCCCTCGGGGCTACCTCTGGTGGTGAGCAGGTAATTGAATTATCAGGCACACCTTCCCTTTAATGGGTTTTTCTCCCTCCTTGTTTGTGTAGAAGCTTTGGGAGGATAAAGGTGAGTACGTTCCACAGCTATGTGAAGGAAAAGGGCAGTGTTAAAAAGGAATGCAGCTACAGAATTTGAGAAAAGTTTCATCTTGTTTGGAATTTTATGGATAATTTACATTGTAGGAGGGAGGGGCTGCCAGTGGCTGAAGCTGAGGGGTGAGACCTCCAGTGTCTCACTGAACAACTGCAGAGCTGGAGCAACTCTGGACGAGCAGTGAGGAAACCTGGAAAACTGTGTCTGGCTATGCAGGGATCTACTGATGAAGAGGACCTAGGGGCTGCAGAAGTTGCCCACAGTTAATGCATCCTACCCTTCACTCCAGGTGAAGTGAGCATTCAGTGGGGCTGAGCTCCCATACAGCTTTTCTGTTATATTTTGATATGCGTTTAGGTGCAGAAAGTCCTTGTAAACCTGGTCTGTTTTCACGAAAGGACTTTGCAGAGAGCCCTCATGTGGGTTTTGTAATAAAACACCCTTTAAATCCTAGTGGTATTGTGTCTGCTCTTACTGAATATAAAAGAGGTTGTCAGAGTCCAAAGGAACCTGTTACTGATTCACATGCAGATTGCAGTTTGTCCTTTCAGTAAATCCTCTGTAACAGATAGCTCATCTAAGCTTTCTAGCTTGCATATCACTTATCTTGGCCCAATTCCCTGATCAAATACTATTGCAAGTTGAGGTCAATGGAAATTTTAACAGTTCCTGATGATAAGTTCCCAAGGAGCTTATATTAGGCTCTCAGAATCAGAACTACTTCTGAACACACTGACCTAAGTTTTTTTGCTGCTGTTGGCAAAGGCTTGCATGGACAGGTAACGTTTCCAGCTAGGTCCAAGTATCTAGCTATATGCTCCAGAAAGCTACAGGGAAGCTGGCTGCAATAATCAAACATGTACAGTCGGAGACAACAAGTACTGTAAGGCTATTTACTACTGATATTCCAGTGCTTCTATTCCTTCCATTTGCTTCTTGTCCTCAAAATACAGCATTTCTGGAAATAATCTATCAACCTTTTTTATTTTCAGATTTTCATTACGGGCGGAGGCAGAAATCTTCCACTAACCACGACTGTGGTTTTGCAAGGTAAAAAGTGATATCACCAGAGGCTGTACTACATTCCTTCTCAGATCTACCCTCTTGCAACAGTAGAGCGCATTGAGTAACTAACTAGTTTGTCCGATACCAAGACTGACTCATAAGGAGAAGAAAAGTTGGAAGACAGGTGTATGCTTGCAGTTCTCGTCCAATTTTCCTGGTAGCTTAGAAATGTGGCAGAAGAAAACATTAACTTCGTGATATGCAGGCCCCTTTTCTGGAATGGTTTATGTTTATGTATTTGCTTAATGCTGAAAGCAGTGAAGTTCCT